CCTCATCCTGGAGACTCCATCCTTAAGGCTTAATGAGGGAGGAGAAGCCAAGAGCAGGTACTCCCTCTAAACTGTATCCAGCTCTTGTGGGCAAAACAGTCAGAGCAGGTGTAGTGTCCAGCCTCAGGCTTTCAAAGACTTGCTGTTTCTGCCAGGCACCCGCCAAGCAGGCCCACACAGTGTCAATGTTACCTACACAGCAATACCTTTTTCCTAAGGTGATTCTAGAAGTGCCTAGAATCTAGAATGCAAGGATGTACCCAGAAGGGTACAACTGCAGCTGGTAGCTACAGTAGGACCAAAGGCAGTTGCCTTTACGTTATTTTGAATAGTTTCTAAATAAATATACGGGGGGGGGGGAGCTTTGGGGAAAAAAAAGTCAAAGAACCATCCAAGAGACACAAGATCGAACAGCATCTACTGACAGGGACAGGAGAGCACCAGCAAACCACAAAGAGCACAGAGGTGGTTGGAGGCACCCAGCCTAACAACTGGCAATGTGCTTATGTGCACAGGCATGCCATGTCACACATGTGGAATCAGAAGACAAGCTGCAGAAGTCAGGTCTCTCCTTCAGTCATGTGAGTCCCAGGGATGGAACTCAGGTGGCTACCCACTGTGCGATCTTCCAGGTCCAGGTGTTTATATCATTCACATTAATTTTCCCAGCATTTCACAATGAGAAAACTGAGGCTCAGGGAGCTCATGCAGCTTGCCTGTAGTCACAGAACAAGCAGCAAAACCAGAATTTAAATCCAGTTGTTTCTAAAAAACATTCCATATAGTATGATTCTGTGATTACCCCTATATGAAACAGGAGAACAGGTAAAACCAATTCAGTGATGTAAAACGGCTCCGGTAGAGATGAGTACTAGCCAGAACAGCAACCTTCTGGGGCAGCACAAGCGCATATTAACTGGAACACAGGCTCACACTTACTATCAGTACACTTTACACTCTGCCTCAAATTAAAAGAGAAACCTCAGCCAGTCGACTCCAAGTCTGTGTTTCTAACCACTAACCCACCTTATCACTGTACCAGAACCTAGCCACATGCTTAGAACTGATTACCTTTAGTTAACAAGTTTTATTTTTTTTCAATTTCTAGTATGCAATACATAATTGAATCATATCAGAGTGAAGAATCTGAATAATAAACTTGGTTTAAAATGTCAATGTCACAGAATGAAAAGTGGAAAGTATCGATTTCCTGACTACTGGGAATTCCCTCAGAATTAAAAAAAATTAAATTCTGCTCAGAAAATAACTTGGAACAAAGTTCTTAGATTTAGCTAAGGGCATGTGTAAAGTTAAAAGTACATAAATATGTTAAAATGTGCATTATAACAACAATGCTGACTCTCAAAGCCTTGGCTTTTGGGACAATAGTTAAGCCATGCCAAGAAAACCAAGTAGGAAAGGCAAAAAAACAAACCAAAAAACACCTCACAAGGGTAGCATTCAGTTGTAACAAATAGGAAACTCAGTATAGTTTTCCAGCAATAACCATGCCAGTACACCCCAGTGACACATCCTCCATTAACCAGTAAGTGCCTCTCTCCCAGGCTTTGTTCAGACTGGCAAAGCCTCATCACCAGTGGGTGATGATGAAATCATTACATCAATTCTCACAAAGCCTTACCCCACACATGCACACACCTCTTATCCAAACAGTAATTGCCTCTCCAGAGAGGCATATATTCATCTACCATTTGGATATATATTCAGCAAGGCCCCAGTTTAGAAGGGAAAAAGAAACAGCTGGAACAGCTGGGGGGGCGGCAGGGGTTACTGTCTTTTTCCCTGGGTCTTTCCATTATGCAGCCAGGAAATATTTTAGCGCTTTCAAAAGAGCTAAGCCTCATTCAAAAAAAAAAAAGGGCCAGGCAATTGATCAAAAAGACTTGACCTCAAAGCAAAAAGCTTTATGGTATTTTTGAGAATTGGTAATCTATGCATCACCATTTGGGTGTTATAACAGATTACATTACCAAGTATTAGCCCAGTTGCAAGATCTCAGTATTTACAAAGGTAGCCAGTTGTACTTAACTAATTTTAAAAGAATGTCCAACAAAGCTGTTAAAAAATAAAAACTCTAACAGGGCGTGGTGGCGCACACCTTTAATCCCAGCACTTGGGAGGCAGAGGCAGGCGGATGTCTGTGAGTTCAAGGCCAGCCTGGTCTACATAGTGAGTTCCAGGATAGCTGGGGCTACAGGGAGACCCCGTCTCAAAAAGACCAAAAAATAAAAACTCTAAAGAGTCAAATATTATGCCCATTAAACAGGCTAGGATGAATTACCAGCACAGACCCAGTGTGTCAAGGGCTAAGCCCCTTAGAATGGGTCAGAGTCCCTAAATAGTTATCAAAAAACTTCAGCATTACTAGAAAACGTTGACAGCTAAGTTTCAAGGTTTCCTTAAGAAACAAAGATTCATCCTTTCTTTTAATCTGTCATCTAAAAAAGCCCCACACATTTCTAATACAGCCTATTCCAGCTTTTAAATCAGCAAGCATATGAGTTAAGTAAAATGAGAAACAAGTTTTTGGATTTTCTCGTTTCCTAATATAATCCTTAAACACACACATGTTTCAACAAAGAGTATAGTGAAAACTCAACCATAAATTATCAGTTCCACTTTCCTATTTTTAGCATAACTGTAGTACGTTAGAATTAGATAAATCTAAATGACTTTCAAAACTAAGTTAATTTTCAAAACTCTAGAGCCATCTATATAACCCGTCTTCAGAAGCTCAGGAAAAAAAAAATTCATAAGCAAATTATGTTTATTTTCCTCAAAGACTATCTCATTCCTTAGGGTTTAAAAACGTGCTATCTCCATCTGCCAAGTTCAGCTGGTTTCAGGCTAGACAAATCTGACCCGTTCCTATAGACAGGTCTCTGTTTTTGTCAAGGGGAAGCTGAGGCCAGGAGAACTTCTGTATTGATTACTGCTATGACCACTCACTCCCCCTCTAAGTGGGTCTTAATCATTCTATCTGTCTTCAAAAGCAATCTTAGAGAGCAAAACTAAATAGGGGAAATGAAGCTAGGTGGACAAAAACAGCTTGTCACTTCACAGTATGAGGTGGAACCAAGACCAGTGAGGGGAATGGGCACTCCTGAGTTTATCAGAGAATTAGGCATTTAAGTATACATACATGTATGTCATCTACACACACACACACACACACACACACACACACACCTAAATTAAGAGCTTCAGGGAGAGTCCCAAGGGGAAAAAAATCAATATTGTACACTGAGAAAGATCGGTGCCGCTGTACTGATAAACACGTCTGAAAGCGCCGGACTGGGCAGAAATCCCTCAAGCGAGTTCTACACAGCTCCGACACACTTCTTTGGTCTTAAAACTAACCTGGTATAAGAACACAGACTCTGGGTACTCTGTTCCACCGGGTTTAATAATCTAAATCAAAGAAACAGAAGCGGGAGCCAGGACAAGTGGGACGTGACCATCCTGCCCTGTATAGTCTCTGCTCAGGGTCGGATCCCCTCTGGGCTCAGCCCGGTCCCTATCTTCCTAGTCCCATCCCAGGCCTGGCCACCTCGTTAACCAGTCCATGACCTCCAGAAGCACAAACATCTACAGTGGAAGAATCTGTTATAACAGGAAGGCAATTTCACCAACTGGCTGGACAACCTGAAAGGCGAGGCTCCAGTACTGCAGGGCCAGGAGAACACGGTGAAGTGTAGGAAACAGTTGAACCAAGTTGGAGAGGTTGGGACGGCCTTCGCCGGCAGGGGAGCGAGGCGGAACCACCACTCCATTCTGTGGACAGAAGCGAGTCTTCTGGCCAGCCCAGGTTAGAAACGTGTGCATTACTTTTAAAGATGACCTTTCACGGATGACACTTGGGAAGTGTCTCGGGAATGCGCCTCCTTTTGTTCCAAGCCCGTGGAGCTCAGTGGCCCCCCAGTCAAGGATAACTGACCCTCCAGAGGGGTCCACCTGCAGCCCCCCACGCCCACCTGTCAGCCAGCTCCCCCTCTCCCGGCCCCCAGCCCCCTCCCCTCTTTGGTCTCGGCTAGCAACTGGGTTAATCATTCAACGCGGGCGGCGTGGAGTATTTTTTTAGAGGTCAAAGCGAAAGGTTCTTCCTAAGTTTCTCAGAAACCAGTCTTTAGGAACCTGGAGGTGGCAGTGCCAGCGGCTGGGGGTGGGGAGAGGCTGCCGGCTGCTCACCAAACACCTGATCTCCCCTGCGGCACCTGAGATCAGCGCAGTGCGCGGGCGGGGTGCGGGTGTAGGCGACACGCGGCGCGCCCCCACGCTGTGCGCTTCCCAGGCACTCATCGCGGGCGCGGGACCCCCCAGAAGCCGCGGTGCAGCAGGCAGGGGGCACCCCCCAGCCCAGGGTTTCGCTGCCCTCTCCCTGTGGGTGCAGGTGGTGAGAAGGCGTCCGGGGAGGGGAGGAGAAGAGAGGAAGCCGGGGAGAAGAGGCGAGGAGACCTGGGAGGAGAGGAAAACAGGGGAGAAGAGGAGAGGAGGCCGGGGGGGGGGGGGGGGGGGGGAGAGTAGGAGGCCGTGGGGAGAGGAGAGGAGACCAGGGAGGAGAGTAGGGGAGGCCGGGGAGAAGAGGAGACCCGGGAGGAGAGGAAGCAGGGGAGCAGAGGCGAGGGAAACGGGAGGAGGCCGGGGAGGAGTGGAGGCAGGGGAGAGGAGGCCGGGGAGGAGAGTAGGGGAGGCCGGAGAGGAGGCAGGGAAGGAGAGTAGGGGAGGCCGGAGAGAAAAGGAGTCAGGGGCGGAGAGGAGGGGAGGCCGGAGAGAAAAGGAGGCCGGGGAGGAGAGTAGAGGAGGCCCGGGAAGGGGGGAGGCCGACGAGGAGAGGAGGCGGGGGAGGATAAGGGAGGCCGGGGAAGAGTGGAGGCGCAGATGCCGCAGGAGCCACCGAGGAGCCACCTGGCGCCCGCCAGAGCCGGCAAGCGGGGAACAGGGCGGGGACGCAGAATGGGTGCCCACCCGCACGGCCCTACCTTGTCCAGGAGCAGCTCCAGCTCGGTGGGGCGGAGCGGCAGACCGCCGCCACATCCACGTCCCAGCCGCGCGTGCGGCTCAGCCCGGCGACCGCCGCCGCTCACGCTCCATGCGCGCCCAGCGGCCTGGCGAGGACGGTGGCGCGGAGGCTGCGGCTCGCCCGCCCGGGAACCCGCACTTGTTGCAGCCGCCGCGGCTGCGCCTCACTCCGGGCTGGAGCTCCCGGCACCATCACCGCCTCCGGCGCCGCCCCGCCCCGCCAGGCGCGCCAATCAGATCCCGTGCCACCGCTTGCGTCACTGCCCGCCCCGGCCGCTTGCCAGCCGGGTGACCAAGTTTGGGGAAGGCCGGGCAGGCCGGCGGGTCCGGTGGGACCCGCCCCGGCCCGCCTCCCTCCGCCTTCGGCTCCTGTCCGCGCTGCACCTGAAGATCAAAGGGTTAAGCTGGCGAAGAGGAGCGCGGAGACACACAGCCCTCCAGGAAGTAGACTCCCCCAGAAAGACGGCAGCTTCAGACTCAACTCTGCTGCAAGTCGGTCTAACCAAACCCTCCGGCCGCCGGGGCCCCTCTGCAGGCGGCGCGATGCTCAGGACAAAGTGCGGCGCTTGCGAGAACCCACCGTCTTCCCGGGCCAGGGCGGTGCGTGGGGCTCGGCCTTGACCGGTCCCGGCTCCACCGTGGGAGGTGGGGACCTGGGCCGCGGAGGGCTCCCTGCGCACCTCTTACATGACCGAGGCCTGAGGGTGGTGCCCCGCTAGGCACCTTCGGATCCTCGGGCTGTGAAGCCATCTAACGCATGGGGACGGGGCTTCTGGTGACGAAATGCAAAGGGTTTCCTGGAGGACCCGCTGGCTCCTCAGAAAGCCAGAAATGCAGGGTGCGGGGGCGCAGCCAAACAGCTGGACGCTGACCCTTCGCTACACCGCTGGGCTGGGCTGGCTGACAGAGGTTTGGTACCAACCACACCCATCCGCAGGAGCGCCGGGGACCTCCGACGCTCGCCCCTAACCCAGCGCCCCTGCCGGCTTGCCCGAGCACTGCATGCCAAGGTGAGGTCGAGCGGCCAGTGGACACCACTTTGGAGCCCCAAGAAAAGCCGGCGAAACCGGATGGAGAAGTTGCCCTCATTTGCAAGGCCCAGTGGGCCAGAGTGGCCCGCGTGCGCTACGCTGCGAGTCTAGCCCCTCCCGGGGTGCGCCTGGAATCATCCCCTTCCGTATCTCTGCAGGCTGAAAAGGACCCTTTTGAAATAATCACACTGGGAAGTTAAGAACGTTCCACACCTGCTTGCACTCTTTCAGAAGGTGTCAGAGGCGGGGTCAGCCAAAAGAAGCAAAGGCTAGTGTAAGGAATTTTCGGACCCGGTGAGCTCAGCCCACTGAATCACCGTGCGCTTACTCTTAACCAACCTCGCAGCCTAAAAGAAGTAAGTGCGTGTTGTGGCTGCGGTCGTCCCGAAGCAGGAATTCTGAGTCAGTGGATCTGGAAACGTTAAGGTTGGCGGTCTTTAGGCCTTTCTGCTTTTATGTTGGTCACATGTTTCTCCTGAGACGTAAAATCCAAGAAACAGGTTGGATTTGTGTATTCACACAAACTGAACCGAGAGCTGAGGTTACATCGAGCTGGGGTTAGGGTAGGGATGGAAGGAAGAGAAATATTATCCCTTCCTTGACTTTCAGGTGCTTTTCCCCGGCTTTATTTACTTCATAATTTAGAAACCTAATAAAACATTGTGAAGGAAGCAAATTATAATTTACTTAAGAACTCATAAATTGATAGATAAATGAAGCCCGTGTCTTTGATCCTGTATCAAAACAAAGGTAACTGCAGGCTGCTGTTTTGATCCTTAAATGCTGTGAGTATTCAAAAGTATTCAAAGCTGACATCCCGAAGAGGATTGTACCATGCCATCAGATTGGTATTTTGTTATTCTGTCATCCCCTAAATGCCCTCTCAGTAGCCACAGATATGCTTTCAAGGACTACTAGCCAAGGAGTTTTAAGTAAAGGAACTGCTACTGTGTCGGCTGGCAAGCAATAAGGAAATAAAGCTTGTGTCTTTCACAGCTGCCAAAAGCTCCCAAGCCCTGAAATGTTAGAGAAAAAAAAAAAAAAAAAGCCGCAAGGGCATTCTTTCCACGGTGCCATTAATTAGTGCAGCTGGAAATGTATCAGCAAGAGTTACTGTGACTTTTGGGAAATAACTCAATACTGGATTCCACACCCACTTGGCTGTAGTGCTTACTCTGAGGTTACACTGGGGTTCAGCAGCAGCAGGCAGAATGCATTACTCATTCAACATGTATGTGCTAACCAACCTACTAGGTACAGAACACAGGGCAAAGTACTGGAGTATCAAACATGACAGACACCTTTCTGTCTCAGAACTTTCAGCCAAGCTGAAGAGGTGCTTAACAATGTAATCTTTGTAATAATAATTACAATTATGGGTTAAACAGAGTGTAAGGTGGTAGGACCATTTGAAGAGTCCAAGAGAAGTTTCTGGCTGCTTCCAGCTATAAGGGGGAAGCTGGACAAATAGGCAGAGTTTGGACTTTATTCGATGAGACATTCAAAATAGGAACTACATACTCCGATTTCCACTATGGCCAAATCATTGACTGACATATGAAGGATTGGAGAGGTGGCCACAGGCAGGAGGGTATGGATCTAGACAAAGCAGTGGACCTGGCAGAGAACATCAGACACCAACAAGGCTTAGGCAGCTACTTAGATAAGGTGGAATCAAAGAAAACTTGCAGGTGGTACTGTTTCAACCAGGTGGATGGTTTTCTGAATTGAGAAAACCCTACTATGGTTCAAATGAGGTGCCTGTGAGGCGTCGTCATGTGGTGTTGAACAGGTTGTCTGCTGGACTAGCTGGCGTCCCTGTAGCAATGAAACCACATGAGGTGGTCTAAGAAAGCATAGAGTTAGACCAGAAGAGGGCCTGGGACTTCACCTTGATAACCCTAATATAAGGCCCAGCTGGACAGAGTGAAGTAAAGAACAGCCAAGAGGCGCCTGGGGAGGTGGGAGTCCAGAGTCTTGGAGTAAGCAGGCTATGAGGAGGAGGCAGCAGTCAGCAGCTCTTAAAATGGCAGAGACTGAGATGAAGACTAGTGTGCACTGGATTTAGTGGGCTTGGTTGATAGTTGCAGATCAGGACTGGTAGAGCTGAGGGGTAGGACTAACCTGGGATGGACTACGGAGTAAATGAGACCTGAAGAAAGACACTGAATTGCAGGCAATTCTAGAAAGGTTTGACTGAAGAGTCAAAAAGAAACAGCCAGAGCAGAATGTTATTAGCCATGGATTGTGATGTGTATATGCCTTTGTTGTTGTTTAAAGACAAGGTCTCTTTGTAACCCCAGCTGACCTGGAACTCACTATGTAGGTGAAGATGACCTCAAACCCACAGAGATCTGCCTGACCTTGCCTCCCCTAATGCTGGGATTAAAGGTGGCACTTGTCGTTACTTATTAGGGTAGAATAACAAGGATTTATAAATGCAGATGGGAAGGATCCCAGAGAGAAGAGGAAGGTACAGCAAAGGGAAAACAATGGACAGCCAAGGTCCTATACCAAAGGGAAGGGATAGACCCAGGGCATGAGTGGAAAGGCTGACCTCAGGCAGGAACTCCATCGATTATAACAGGAGAAAGGAGGCTGCATGGGGACTTAGCCAGGAAGGGTTATTGTGGGTGATGAAACCTTTCCACCTGATGACTTCTTAACTCTGTGACACAGGAAGGCTAGAGATCGAGCAAGGACTGATGTGAGATGTGAAAAGTGGAGAGAATTTGACCCAGTCATCACAGAAGGTTTAGAAGGGTTGTGATAACCAGACAAAGAGCCCGATAAGCAAGTCAGCATGGCAGTCAACTTGAGGTGGTAATGATGGACTTTAAAGGTGCCTTTTGGCCCTCCTGCATGGTTTCCTCTGATAGCTCAGCTGCCCACTCTGGCACAGGTTCAGATGAGAAAATTGCTAGGGCAGATGAGCAAAGAGGCTGAGAACCTTGTCTGAAGTAAGGTGTAATCAAAGAAAGGACAGAGATCTAATCAGTCAAGTCTCGGTCACATAAGAAGAAAAGGAGGTTGGGTCTGAGATCTGGGTGCTCAGTGGTGAACTTTAGGGCCATGGCAAAGCTGGAAAATGATAGAGGAAGGGCAGAGGAGAAAGTCCAAGCCAAGAGATTAAGAGGCAGTGTCACTGAGTGAGCCACTGTATGAGTAAAGCAATCCAGGATGCAGGCAGGAATTAGGGATACAGTGAGAAGGCACTGAGCCAGGAGCTAAAGTTCTAAGTAAGCGAGTGATCTAGATATTAGAAGACAGGGGGTGGGGACCAGAAAGGGTAAGGTGGTACCCAGGAAGGTATGGCTAGTTAAGGTATGGCTAGGTGGTAATCTCCTTAAAGGAACAAGAGTGTTTGCAGGAAGTAGAGGAGAGTGATCAGGTCAAAGGTTTACCCTGCCTCTGGGCCCTTGGAGAACACAGGGTAGGGGATCAGCAGCCTCATGTAGCCCTACAGGAAAAGCAAAGAAAGCAGGTATGCAATTCTAAGGAGCAGTTAGGGAGATATGGATGGATGGACAGATGGACTGAGGGGCAGACTGATGAACCAACCTGTGATTTACTTTGCTTATTGAAGTGTGTAATTCCAGAGGACTAGGTGGAAGGATTTGAGTTCAGCGACTGAGTAGTGGGGATCCTTCGGGTGCCAGGAAGAACAGAGCCTTGTAGCATAATGGAGGGATAGAGAATCCATGAGGAAATGAAGATGAAACGAACCAGAGGCACAGTGGATTTTGCCTTGGTTGTCTCTATGAAGTTCTGTGGACCAGAGCCATGTCCCCCTCTCTTTTCCTTTTCCTTCCTGAGTCCCAACAAAACCAGGCACATGTAGGCCTGCCATCCTCCTCTTCCTCCCCCAAATAAGCCCCCTGTAGGCCCCATGTGGCTAGGAATCTGGAATACTAAGCTTATCCTACCTGTGTTTCCTCTCTTCCAGACACTGTTGACTAAGATTCTTAGTCTTAGCTTCATTGTCTATAAAGTGGGGATGTTAAAATACTCCTGACTCTGAGGGTTGTAAGTAGAGGAAGCTAGCTCAAATACAAGTATTTTCTACTCTGTGAAACCTTGTATGAATGTGAGGGATGTACCTTGTTCAGAACCTCTAATGTACCTCCCA